GATCGGTTCAGTCGTTACTTAGATATTGCCTTGAGAAAATCTTCCCACTTCTATTTTGCATGAATCTCGCGTATAATAGGCACGGTGTGCTCGCGCAGTTCGAGCGCAACTTCGTTGCGCGTGAAACTTGGCGCGAGGCACTACCGTGCCTCTTGATTTTTATTATAGTCACCAACTAACTACAATTAACTATAATGTAAAAACAAAAAAGAAGAATAAGACGGTACACTTCCTGATAAAACGTTTTCCCCACACTGTCAAATCTAGTGATCGACCCCCAGGAAATCGATGGTGTATCATCCAATGTAGTGAAAATTACAAAAGTGAGCAAATTTACTAGTTGTTAATTAACTAATAAGACTATAGATATTTTAGTACATTTGCTCATTTTTGTCATTTTCACTACATTGCATGAATCGATGCCTACGACTAAAATGTTTTTTTCAGGTGCAAAAGACTTAGAACTACGGACTTTATCATCGCAATGCTAAGAAATTCACCGTCATTCTGTACAGTTACATGTATAAAAGTGCAGTTTTATAATTTGTAAGACTTCAAGAGACTTTATTATATTCAAGAATTTTTGCAATAAATAATTTGTCAATTATATGATGTAATATTTTTATTTTCATATTTAATACAAATTTATTTGAATAGTGTAGTTTGCAATATTATAGTGCAACAGAACTCTTAATAGTAAATTATTAACTAAAACATGAGTAAAAAAGTAAAGTACAGTAAGTAAAAGTAAAGTATAGTATGTAGTAGTGTCTTAATTATAAATCACGAGGACTCACCAAGTTTTAAATAGATTTACTGAAATTTCGCATTACAATAATTTTTTAACTTACCAATCATAAGTAACAAAAATAAAACCATATTATATTAAGTTTTATAAATTAGCTTGCATATTAAAATAAAAATTGTTATTCATAGAATTGCTATTTTTATAGAATTACTATATTTCTACAAAATAATATAAATCAATGATTTATAAGCAATGATACTATAGTAGTTCCTCGCTAAGAGCTCGTTTATAATAGCCGTTAACTTAGGCCAATGCCATAAAACTTGAAAAATAGAAAACTCGTACTCCCGTTTATATTGAATTGTAAATGAAAGTACGAGTTTCCTATTTTCAAACTTTTACAGCATTGACCTAAGTTAACGGTTACGATTATTATAAACCAACTCTAACTATTCGCTTGAAACAACACCTCGACTCGGTTCCGCGAGCGGTCAATGTCGAGAGAGGTATTGTTCCAAGAATCGCCGGCTGTTATCTCTGTTTGGCTCGACCGCCGCAGGGAGTCATTCTCACCAATTCACGTGAAGTCTCGGCGAAGCACTTCTAGGAATTGATGGGAATGACTCCCGGTTTTTTTTTTATACCGAGAGAAAAATTCGGACAGTTATCAAAGAATTATTGTAATATTGTTTAAATGGAGAAATCTAAGTTTTTGAAATCTATATGTTTGTATATATAAACCTCTTAGTTGTATATAAATTAGAGCTTTTTCTAATTAGAGCTACTTCTATATTACATTGCCTGTATTACAAAAACTTTTACTTTTACTTTTACTTTTTTTACTATAATGTAACTATAATCATATACATGATATCATATGTATGTATGTACATACATATACGTACAAAAGAATCTGCTTATTGCAAGTAAATCTCGTGCATACGCGTAAAAGAAATATCTGTGCATTTATTTTTTCATTCTTGAAATGAAATAATATAAACATGAAAAGTGATTTGATATCTAATTTTGCTTGTCTAGAAAAAAATATAGGTACATACGATATACGCTTCATATCTTCAATAACATTGTACTTAGGCAAAAAAATATTTCTTGAAAAACATTCATTCAATTTTTTTCTAAGAAAAACTATTAAATTTTATGTCAAACCTATAGAAATAAAACATTTTATAGCTATTTAACTTAATCAGTTTGTGCAATAACTTCTATTATCAAAACAGGTAGAGACAACATTATGTAAAATACATAGTCTTTACGCAACTAGATTACGAGCTTTCATTTGCAATTCGAAACGTCGATTTGTTCTTACTTGTTTCAGTATCGTTTGCGCTTCTTGTTGTTTTGTTTCTCTGGAACAATAATTATACTTTTTTGTAGCATACAAAAATCTTACGAATCTCGTTACGATTCAATATACAATTCTTAATAAAACGAATGCAAATAATGCTTATAATATTTCTACTAGTGTTACTTCTGTGAATCAGATGTAATTATACTGTATGAAATTTGTTTTTAAAATAATAACTACATAAATAACTGTTTATACCTTGAACAAATAGTTTGCTTTTGTAATACCAAGTGTGTAGCTTCAGGTTTTCTTAGTCTAAATCCGAATCTATTGTGAGTGCCGTCATTTGTGTCAATAGGCAATAATTTTTTTTCCTTTTTTTTTATATTTATTTTTGGAAAAACTTTGTTTAGAGCTATAAAAAATTAAGTAATGTAAAAATAAGTATCTGATAATTATGAAAATAATAAAAATAATAGATATTATCGAGTTACTGAATGCTGCATGACGATTTTTCAAACGGTTTTTTGTATCTACAAGTGATTCTGCTTTAGAAAACAATTTTTCATGTATTCTTTCAAAATTTGGCATTTTTGTCAACGATTTCTTCTCTATAAATAAGTACATGTGTTATTAACGTACACAGACTTGAACTACACATTCTCAACATAAATAATTCTTGGTTTTATTTTACCCGATTGTTTTCCAATAGATTTAAAAGTCTTCGGTGTCTCAATTTTACTTGGCCTAGTTCTCAATACAACTATATTTGTGCGTGAACTTTTCTTCTTACAAGAAGATATAAATGAATTTCGACTTAAGTTCTCAATCTCATTTTGTTGACATTTATGTGCTGAATTTGTAACGCTATTTCTGTTTGCATTAATAATATGCAACTTTTTTAACGGCAATTTGATTGGCTTACTGGTTGATTTAGGTACATTTGTGTCGGATGTTACATCTGTATATTGTACTTTAGCTCTCTTCGTATTTTTATGTAAAATTGTTTCTTTTAAAGTATGTTTTCTACTTATCTGTTGCAAATTCAATATTTGCGATTGTTCCAATTCATACGTATTTGTTTTTTTTTCTTTTTTTAGTACTGTCGTATTATCTATATTGTAAGTATTATTCCTTGTAGTGATACCTGAAAATTTAGATTGACTAGCATTACTAACGTTTATATCAAATAAAAAAAAAAGATTGAGATATATTATCAATAGATTTTACACTACCATTTAGTATGCTACTACCATTACTAAGTGATCGTATATTTGATAGATTTTTGCTTCTTAATTTACTATTGAAATACGCATTATTTGTAGATTTTATTGGTATATTGAATTTGTATATTGATTTAATGTTAATTGACATTTTATTCTCTTGTGGAGTAGACGACTGTAATGGCACGGGTGATGTATTTGTTCTTTGTATTAATGCATTATGTTTAATTTTTGGTGATTTCTTCATGGTTTTTCTTGATTTCGTGTTAGAATTGTGTGTTGCTCTTGATTTCATAGAAGTTTCTGATGTTGACATCTTGGATCTCTTCTGTGTATTAGTCAAGAAAGAAGTTCTTCTTATTAAGGTATCTAATTTAGTCTTATCTGTAAGTGTATTTTGGTTAATTTCAGATGGTAATTTTTCCAACAACACTATTGGTTCTGATAACATATTCTCTATTTGTGAAGCTGTCAGAATTTTTGATAGTTTCGAATTTAGTAACCTGCGTTTAAGTGCTAATAAATACTTAGATCTTGTTCCATCAATTCTTGCTTTAGGAAGAGTTGATGGAGAACCAGAAACGCTTATGAGAGATGATTTCAGTAATAAGTTTTTTCTAACTTGAGACGGAGATAGCACCTTCAAGTTTGATTTTTTTGACTTTGAATACTTCTCTTTAGGAGATTTTGAGAGCATATGTACAATTGCTTTTAAATTTACATCCGATTTTTTATGTTTTTGTTTTATTGATGTTAGTAAGAAACTTTTCTTGGATATAGCAATATCACCCAAACTTTTCTTTTTGCTTTTTTGTGATTTCTTGTCACAAATATCTAATTTGTCTTTATATGTAAGAAGAGACAATTTTTTTGGACTTTTCAATAACTTTGGAACAGCTAGTGAATGTGTCTTTGGAGAGCCTAAAGAAACTAGTGATTTTGTAGGTGTCTTTTTAGACCTATGAGGTGTAAGACTCATCTTCGGAGGTGTACTCTCAGGCGTCACCAGTATAGGTGATGTTTTTATACGTGTACCAGTAATTTTTCTTTGTAATTTTTTAGCAGTTTCTTTATGCAAAGTTAAACTTTGTGAAGTATTGTGCTGAGAAGTAGTGTTCTTAGCAGATTTTTTTATAAGAAAATTTTCATTATTTTTTATCTTGAATGAGTCATTAAAATTTATTTTTTTATTTTTTTGGGATGTGAATGTATCTTCTCTTGATCTTCTCTTGTAGTTATGTTTTTGGCGAAAACTTTTCTTTTGCACAAGCTTATTGGATGTTGTCTTTGCATCAGATGATCCTGTTTCACTTTGTTTAGTACTTTTCAAAGAATTTTTAATTCGTTTCTTTTCTGCTGATTTCTTTCTCTTTTGTCTTCTTGCTGCTTTAGTTTCATTTTCAACAAAATTGTTTACTTTTTGCTTTCTAGATCTAGTAGTAATAACAGATTGCTTTATTGTTGCTGAAAAGTACCAATATTTTAAAATCATTATAAAATTACAGTTTGTGAAAACATTAAAACTTAATTCTATAATACTATTCTATATAAATTGCTATATAATATTCTATATATAATAATCGAAAAACTAGTCTTAGATCTAAAAAGATCTAACATTAGTTCTTTTTTAGTTTACTAACATCTGAATTTATACTTGATTATATATATATACATATATATATACATATATATTAAAACTACCCTTACGAAAAAAAACTACTAGCAGTAATATATTGCGGCAGTGGTACGAAAAAATGACTGGCATTCTGTGTAATTGCCAGTAATATTCTCAGTAATTCCTGTAATATCTAATACTATTCTTATGTGATTGTCAGTAATATTTATATTACTGACTTTATTTATATGTAATCGGCAGTAGTTCTTTTTCGTAAGGGTATATATAGTCAAATTCGCATGAATAATCCAAACTGAAGCTATAAAATGTTATAACCTTATATTTCAAGTTTAAAAATTGTTTACTTTACCTGAACGAGTTTGTCTGGGTGACATCTGATCCAAATCTGTGTTACTAATAATGGAATTTATACAGTGCTCACAAATGTAACTTGAATATCAAATAAAAACATCAAAAACTGCTTTTAAGCAATTTAATAATTTAAATAACTGTATCGCAATGAGTTCTTCTTTGCTGTAATGGCTCTTGCCCCGGTAAGGAAGGAGCATACGCCAGTCTTCGATTGGTGGAACTTAACTTGACAGCTGTATCGCAATGAGTTTGGATGCGCAGCAGAGAGCAGCCTGAGAGCGGCCACGGCCATAAGGCCTGGTTTATGCGGACAATAACTGTTAACTTATGCCGGAACCGGTAGAGTTTAACTATAGGATTCCAATACTTCTGTTTATACGCATTCGGCAATTTCGTATAAACAGAAGTATTAAAATCATATAGTTAAACTTTACCGGTTCCGGCATAAGTTAACAGTTATTGCTCGCATAAACCAGGCCTAAGAGTTTTTGAGTTCGTTCCGTTTCATGCATTAGCGCGCATTTATCTATAGTACACGTCACGTATAGTATAGACAAATGCGCGCATATGCGTGAAACGGAACGCAGCTTCTGTCATAGCAGAGAGAGGCCTGAAGCTTATGTCACACTACGGATTTGGATTGCAATTGGGGTCAAACAGAGCGAAGATAACTAAACTTAGGATTGGTTTTCTTTCTTCTGATTGGTCAAATTTCAATCAATTCAATCCCAATCCGTAGTGTGACATAGGCTTGAGAGCGGCCACGGCCATAAGAGTTTCTGTCATAACAAACTGCATTTCCTTTTAGGAGACACAGTCGACACAAGTCGACACAAAAGTCATTCTGTCTTCGTTCAGTATTCAGTGAGAAACAAAGACAGAATGACTCTTGTGTCGACTTGTGTCGACTGTGTCTCCTAAAAGGAAAGCAGCCAAAATCGCCCCGTACACTAGCGAATGTCCACGGGTGGTGCACATTGGAACTACGCAGACATGTCCACGAGCGACTTGTCGATACGTATGGCTATGTCCACGCGTGGACATGGTTTTATTCCGTGCTATGTGCTGTGGACATGGTTCTATTTCGTGCTATGTGCGGTGAATATGGTTCTATTTCGTGCTATGTACACGTCGGTATACAAGTCGGTACAGACTTGTCGCGTATGATAACGTGAAATGCGCTTTCTCAAGATATACAGGGTCGGAGTTGTTCCACTTTCAGATAAAATATCGGACAGTTTATCTAATACTTAATTATCATTTATTTTTCCACGTTATTTATCCCATGATATCTCAATTGTAAATAGAAAATGTTACAATGAAAACCACGGAACGAATCATTTGTGAATTAAAAAGAAAAAACATTTAATAAAACTTATAGTTCACTTTCGAATTTTGTAGAGTATTAATAGAGAAATAATAGAGAAAAACTGATTACCTGACATTGTTCTCATAGATCAATCGAAGTACTTACAAAAGAAAAAAGATTAATGAGAAAGAACTTGCAAATATATATCTATATATATTAATATTTTATATAATTTGAATCTACATACACAAATATATCGTCACTTCCTACGTATAATTACATAAGTGTCACATATGGGATTTTCAGTTTATTGCATAGCGAAAGTCATGTTCTTTGTGGTCACCAAGTATTAAAAAAAATATTCATAAGTATGATAAAAATTTAAAACCAAAAGATCCCTTAACCAGGGAAAACTATATGAAGCCCTAAACTTTTAAACTGCTCTCCTCTAAAATTTGCGTTTTGGAGTTACGGGATTATACGTAGGGAATGACGATATACAGAATATACATAAAAAGAGGAAATGTACATCTTGATATATAAAAGCGGTTTATTGTAAAATGGTAGACTTACAATACATGGTACATTACAATACTGTTATATGAATAGCTAAACTGTAAACATGAGAAAAAGTTAAATATAACAATTTCTGTCAGAAGTATGGTCTTTTTTATATAGATAGTATATATATTATATTTATAAATTTTTTTTCTGCATACTTTAAATCCCTTATATTAAACATTATTATCATAAAATAAATCTGTTTTTCTATGTTCTTCTTACATAAGTAACTATATATATGTAGTCTTTCATTTGTAATANTTCTTACATAAGTAACTATATATATGTAGTCTTTCATTTGTAATATGTAAGAATACACAACCAGAATTACAAACTTTCTATCATCTATTTATATTCCCTTTGTACGAACATTATTTATTAAATCCTTTCTCTTAACTATGTTATAATGTATATTATTTCTCTGTTTACTTCATATATTCTATGAGAATATACAAACTTTTGGTGCGGTTTGTATATAAAAATAAAGTATTTTTAAATTATAAATAAAAAAAATTGTAAGTACCAAATGTGTGTGTGTGTGTGTGTGTGTGTGTGTGTGTGTGTGTGTCTATATAAGTGAGTTTCTTCTACCTTTTTAAAATATACTTCATAATTCTTTCACAGCAAATTATAATTAACAAATTACTTAACCGTAGTTGCTTATATTTATAACATTAGCGTGTAGCCCTCCTCTATTATAAGAGTCTGTTCCTCTGCCTCTTTTACCTCGCCATCCTCTCCGCTGCCTTGCCACCTTCTCCCGCTGCCTCGCCACCCTCTCTCGCTTGTGTGCGTAGCCCCACCAACTCGGTGGTACGCATCATGGTACGCACACAAGCGAGAACCGCCGCTGCCTGTATGCGCTCGTGAAATAGTGTAGCATGATATGTTCCGTCTCCTTTCCACCAAGCCGGCTATAAGGCAAGACACGAGGCACGATTAAGGCTGCGGTCCGTTTCATGCTCAAGCGCACATTTATCTATAGTATACGTGACATATATTATAGATAAATGCGCGATTAAGCATGAAACGGACCGCAGCCTAAGTTGCGTGCTTTGCGCGCGTATGACAACGTGAAAAACTTTGTCAAGACTTATAGTTTTGGAAACAATACATAATATTATTAAAAACAAAATACTTCGAGACGCATATAATTTATTAATTATTTATATCAGTTAACTGTCATAAAAAACATTTAAAAGGTTTTAGAATATTGAACATTTAATATATATGTATATATAATGTTTTTTAATATTATAAAAAATGTAAATTATTACTGTTGACTCATACTCTTATCATTAATAAAAAAATATAACGCAAATTGAAATGTTTTAATATTANCAATAATTGTATGTTCCAAGACTTTATATTACTATAAAAGATGTAAATATTATATTCTAATAATACTTGTAAATGTACTTTTAAATTATATTTTTAAAATATACGTGTCCATTATGTTTATATGTCCATGTTGTTAAATTCTTTTTAAAAAAACGATCACACAAGTGTTTAAAACATGTATATTAAAGCTGATTGCTACTGATAATGTACTGATGANATACTTTTATACACTATCTGTTTAAAAGTTTGAGTTTGATGTTGTTTCTTTGTAAAAAGTAATGTATTTTTTATTTTATAGTAATAAAAGTATTATGTTAATACGTATAAGTATTTTATTAATACGAGTCTAAGTATGTTTGCTATTATATATACATAAAGGTACATACAAATAATAATAACATACTTTGTATTTGTAAAATTTATATTGTTAATAACAAAAAATATAATAAAAAATAAATAGTAAAAATATATACCAAGGGGAGGTTTAATTGTAGGATTAAAGAAAGATTGGAACGAAAACCGTTGGAAGATAGTGGAAATGGGATACGAAGATATACTACATGTAAGGAAGGAGGATGAGAAAGGAAATTTAAACATCATCTTGATATACAACAGAAGATACAAAAGCAAAGAGGTAGGAGAAGCCATTGCGAAGATAACGGAAAGGTTCGAAAAAGAGTATATAATAGTAGGAGGAGATTTCAACATAAGGACAGGAGAATTAGGAAGAGAAGAAAACGAGGGAGGTGTGGAGAGGAAAAGTAAAGATAAAATAATAAGCAATGGTGGAGACAAATTCATAGGTATAATGCAGGAGAAAGGTTTAAACATTTTAAATGGGAAAGTAGAAGGTGACTGGGAAGGTGAATTCACCTATGTAGGAGGAAGAGGTAGCACAGTGATTGACTAAGTTTTTGTAAATGAGCCGATAATGAACAAGATAGTGGATTTTAAGGTAGAAGAAAGAGTGGACTCGGACTATATGCCAATCCGCGTGAGGATAAGCATGGAGCAAGAGGAAGATAGAAGATATAGAGGAAAAACAGGAGAGGTGGAAGCACAGAAGAAAAAGAAAGTTATCTGCTGGGACATCGAGGCAATAGAAAGTTTTATTGCAAATACGGAAGAAATAGGCTGGACGGAAGAGCAGGAGGAAATGAGTCTAGATTTTACATGGAAGAAACTAAAAGAGCTAGTAGATAAGGCAATGATAAAAAAAGGATATTAGGATGAAAACAAAGAGAATAGGATTCAAGGAATGGTGGGACAGAAGTTGCACAAAGATAAAAAGGAATACCAAGAGAAACAATAAGAAATGGAAAAGTGATAAAATAACGAGGAAAGAATACTTAGAACAGAAGAAGGAATGGAGAAGGTATATGGAAAAGAAAAGAAAAGAGAAAAGAGAAAAAGAAGAAAAAACACTGAAAATGATTAGGACGGAAGCAGAGGTATGGAGGTTTATAAACAAAAGGAAAAAGAAAAGAGAAACGAGAGAGCCAAATATATAGATGGAGGAATGGAGAAAGCACTTTGTGAATCTGCTAGAAGGGCAGGAGACGCGTGAGGAAAAAGAAGACAAGGGGAACGAGAAATGGGAAAAAGAGGACGAACTAAGAAAAGAGAAGAGGCAAGTGGA